ACTCAAGTTTTGTAGAGGAAGATGTTATAGGCTAGACCCATTGAACCCAAAATAAACACACGCGCCGTCCATTCATCCGTCCGTCCGGTCGGCGGATGCGAGTGCTGTAGACACCCCATTTTTGACAGCCTTTCAAGACTTGGATGTTCCTGCAGGTACATCCGATGACGAGTCTGATTGCTCGCCGAGCGCTCAAAATCCTCGACGAAATGCCACAGGTTTGAGCTTTCTAAAACCTGTATCCTTTTTGTCTCCTTTTTGGACCATGTCTTGGCCTCTCTCCCCTTCAGTCTTTGGTGGCCTGCTAGCCATCTATGAGGGATGCCGGCCAGGGCTTTTGTCCTACTGGCCATTGATGTGCCTTGCCAGCCATCACTGATGACCGGCCGGTCACTAGTGTTTTCTGCAGATATTTTGTGCCAGCTGGTGGCACAAAGGCTTGCATCTACCCACATGTGGAGGGCTGGATCTCTTTATATGGAATTCATATTTTCTATATATATGGGGGTTCCTCCCCCATTTTTTAGGGTTAGAAATTTTGGAACAAAGATCTCTCTCTCTAGATTTCTCTCTCTCTCTTGCAATTTTACGCTTAGTTGCTTGTTTTCTCTACACTTTTACATGCACTAGCTTAATCAAATTTGCTTCTCTTTGGGCTGAGGTTATTTGAGACCCTCTTTGAGCTTTAGCAAGTGGTTTTAGCTTGGTTTGGTGCCTAAACTTGAGCTTTTCTTTAAAGGTATAACACTTGTCATATTTACTTTGTTTCAATATACTTGTTTTACCATCTTTTCTTACTATTTTGGGGCTGATTTTAAACTGAAAAAAGTTCTATTTTTGTGGCTTAAAAGTGGTTGTTTGAGCCCTTTTTTAGTTAGGGGGTGGTTCACCCTTCTTGCTTCTTAGCTTGTAAGGTTTTTGTGCCTTTGTTCAACACTTTCAAACCAACCTTTTTTGGGTCTTTTAACCACTGAATTTCAAAGTTTTTTTAGTGGTAAAAAAATTATTTTGAAGTCTAAAATTGGAGGAGTTAGCCTTCCCTCCTTGTGTCTTGTTTACATGCCTAGTTAGCCCCATTTATTAGCTTAATGTTTTAGCTTTTTGTGGCCCAAGTCCAGCATGTTTTACACTCTGTTTTGAATTATTTTGCCACTGTTTTGGCTGTTTGGTCCCTTTTGAGTCTTGTTTTGCGTAGTTGTAGTGTAAGTTCCTTCACTAGCTTAGTGTTTTAAGACTTTAACCACCATTGGTTTGAGTTGGTTGCATGTTTTAGTGCTTTTATCATTCATTTCCAGCACTTAATCATCTCTGCAACCTCCCTAATTTCTTGGTTTTATTTTTGCTTTGAAAACGGTTCAAACCATTTGCTTGTTTGAAGCATGAAATTGAGGTTTTGTGCTTAATGGTTTAATCCCTTTTGGGGTTCATTACCAACGGCATGAGATCTCTTTCATGCCTAAAACAACCTTTGGTTTAAGCCCTCTTTCCATTAGGGGACACTCACCAAAGGACTTAATTGATTAAAGGATGACTTGGTAATCAAAATGAGTAAACAAAATTGATAAGTAAAAGATGCAAGATAAGCATCTCTTTGTGTTGCATTGCATGCGTTCAAATCGGATGTTAATTTGAACACAAGGAAAATAGGACATTTTATACTCAAAAGTAATGAAATGTGCCACTTTCCTTGGTCTCTATTGCCCTTGATCATGCATGATAGGGTGATGGTCATTTTGGTCTCATTTTGCTTTTATTTAACTTGCACAAATTGGTTTCACAAGCCATCATGCAATGAAATTGCTTGATTGATGGTTTATGAACCAAATTTTGTCCCTTCTTTAATTTTCCCATGAAAAGGAGAGGCAAAGTGTGCAGACAACCCTTGGAAAAACCCCCTTTTTGCTCTGTTTGTACTCTACTGCAACATGGTGATCCAATGCATCAGTGGCTAGCAAGCCACCATCCATGGCCGGTAGTGCACCATAGATGGCCGGCAGTACACCTTTTTGGCCGGCAGAGGGCCGGTAGCATTCATCCATGGCCAGCAAGTCACTGATGTGAACCTCAGTTGATTTTGGTAAGATGGAGCAGAAAGATTCTGAAAATGCTCAACCATGCAAACAGAGGCTTTCAAGAGCAAAACAGAGGTCTTTTCGGGCCAAAATTGAGCATGTGCATCTTCCACTTTCCGAGGTGGAGCAGGGGCAACATAGTTTAATGTCTTACATGCTTAGTTTGTGTGCATTTGTGTTGTAAATTAATTAATTAGTTTGCTAGTTAATTAAAGTATTGTAATAATTAATTACTTTAACTAGTTATTCAATTTTGGTTTGTAATAATTAGTTAACTAGAATAGTTAATTAGTTTCGTTTTGTATTAGTTAGCTTAATTAGCGTAACTAGCTAGTTAGCTTATTCATTCGAACCCTCTATCGTGAGGGCGTAATGTTGTAATAAATGTGCGTATGTGTATATGTCTTCCAACCCCACGTCTTTTTTCCTTTTATTTAATCGCTTTCGATGGTTAGATTGAGGACATGTTTCAAATTAGCATACCTTATGCTTGCATCTATTCATTTGTATTGCATGCACCGAGGCTCAGTGCATCATTCAAACTGCATTGCCATTTCAATACTTCTTTAAATACGTGTTTAACCGCATGTTATCAAATCGATTCATATGCCATATTAGTAGCTGAACCTTTTAATTGCACTATCGCGTGAATTGCATTAGGCATCTTGTATAATTAGGAATCATGCATATTTTTCTAACTCATATCTTCTTGGCTTGGAGTACTAGGTGAGTTTTTACGCTTTAACATACTTGCATAAGTGTGAATGTTGCCATGATTAGCATGCTTGCCATGAGGCTATATGCTTACTTGCTAAACTACATAAATGCCTGTTAGGGGTGGGCGCAGATCGGTTGCGGCCACGAAACCTCCAATCTGTCATCCGTCCGCCAAATTGACGGATTGGAGAAAATCAATCCGCATCCGTCCGCCAATCCGGTGGATGCGGATTTGGTGGATTGGCGAATGGATGCGAATCGGTTTGGCGGTTTGAAATTTTACAAATTTTCAACATACAAAAATAAATAAATAAATAAATAAAAAAACCCCCTAGACAATGCAATATTTATTCATTCATATCTATGAAACAACTTGGACAGTGCAACCTGGGGCAATGCAATATTTATTCATTCACATCTATGAAACCTGCCAGTGTAACTTGGAAAACTTGGAAAACATCTATGAAACCTGCTAGTGCAACTTGGATTGTAATGGGCATAATTCAGTATTGGTTCCAATAGGCATAATTCAATATCACCCAAAACATTGTGCATCCAATGTGCATAAATCATTTTACACATAAAATATAAGGAAAACATTGTGCATATCCAAGTGACAGTCATCTAAGAGTTCCAAAAATAAAAAAGTTACAATCATTCAACAAACATTGTGCATCCAAAAAAAATAACTTATAGTCATCCAACAAATATTGTGCATCCAAAAAAAATAAGTTATAGTCATCCAAAAAGAAGAAAAAAGCCATTCATTTCCTTTTACCAAATCATGAGCCATGTAAACTTGCACAACAAAAAAATGAAATTATTTAATAAAGAAAATACTAAAAAGTCTTAAACTTAAAACAAGTAAACATATGTTAACAACATTTAACCAAGGGGAAATATTTTACCAATGATATTAGACTTCAATAAAATTACTCTCCAGACTTGGGCTTGAACATGAACTTGACTCCGAAACAACTACACAAAAAACATATCACAACAAAAATATGTAAAGTGAAGATAATGAATTTTGAATAATACAAAATAAATGAAATGGATAAAAAAATAAATAAATCATTGTATATATTATCCGAATCATATTGTTGTTCAAATTGTTCAACATCCTCCATTGCTTGTCGAAAGCATATTGGAATGTTACTTCGAAGCCAATTTTGTGTACAAACAAGAACCTCCACCATCTTGGGAGCAAGTGAACTACGAAATGGATCAATTATATGACCTTTTGTACTAAAAGCCGACTCAAAAGCAACAGTGGAAATAGGTATTGCCAACACATCTCGTGCTATAAGTGATAATACTCTATACTTTGTTGCATTAACCTTCCACCACTCCAAGATATCAAATTGAGCATTATTCCCACCTTTCTCAATATCACCCAAGCACTTGTCCAATTCCGACATACTCCCACTACTAAAAAATTGCCCCTCAAAAAATGAGTTAAATTGAGAGTTCACAATAGAGTGTGGGTCATTTTCATCTATCACCATATCTACTCTTTCATTTACATTGGAGGCATGCACATTTGTTGGCTCATGTGTGGCATAATGATCATACAATTGACTCAAACAATTTTTCACCTTGTCCAACATTTCTTTCACTTTCAACACATCTCCACCAAAAATTGTTGAAAAACAAAATTGCAAGTATGCCATTTTCCTTCGAGGATCAAGCACAACCGCAACATACAAAAATAGATTGATTTTATCCCTATTTCCCCAATACTTGTCAAACTTCTCTTTCAGTTTCTTTGCCATTGAAAACAAAATAAGATCATTGTCTTTGATTAATTGTCCAATCATATTTTTAATGACAAAAATTTCAGTATAAAATGTGTTTGAAGTAACAAATAAAGATCCAGAAAATCTCTTTGTGGCATTGTAGAACATTTTAAGAAATTTCAAAAACACCTTACAATTATCCCAATCCTCGGCTGTAGGCATCTTTCTCCTCTCACCCTCTTCATTATCCAAAAAGTAGTATTTGTAATTGTAGTCCTGTCACACCCCAAACTCGCCCCTAAAAGTTCGGGCATGACCCATACAGAAACGGACACTAAACCTGATATACATATCATATGGGGCCTGAGCGGAAGCATTTAATATAATAAAATAACACAAAAAAGCATCCATTGAGCTAAACCTAACATGCCAGGATCACATTCGTGAGAGTCATTTATTTTTAGACATACCCATACACATACATGACCGCATGAACAAACATTGGTATAGAAAGGGATCATATACATACATTTTAACCTTAGGTAAATAATTAAAGTGCAAGCCAAAATCTTAACAAAACTTGACATAAATGCATAGACTTGGTCTGGGAGCCTGGGCATACTGAGGTTGACAACTGAAGGGTGAGCTTCAAGGGTTAAGACGGACTCCCAAAGTGATTACCTACAGAACATACATAATATAAAGTGAGCGAAGCTCAGTGAATAATAGTACATAAACGATTCAATGCTCAACTTGAATTATAATACATATGCATACATAAATAATGAGGCATAAGGTTAATTGATTCTGTATTAATTCTTGAATGGCCTAAGGCCCAGTCTTGAAACATATTGACTTGAAACATAATATCTTGGAACATAATGGCTTTAAGCCCTTGAAAAAAAAGTGGCGATAGTCCTTGAACATATTAGCATTAAACTTTTAAACATGGTGGCATATAGCCCTTGTACATATTAGCATTAAACTTTTAAACATGGTGGCATATAGCCCTTGTACATATGGCATGAAGCCCTTGAAAAGTTGGCATAAAGCCCTTGAAAGTTGGCATAAAGCCCTTGAAAAGTTTGGCATGAAGCTCTTGAACATGTGGCATGAGGCCCTTGAAACATGTGGCATGAGGCCCTTGAAACATGTGTGTCTGAATTCAAGAGGTGTCTCACACGGACTCTAGAGGTGACTCACTCCGTAGTACTTAGTTCCGTGTAGCACTTTGTTTCATATTATAATAACTTATCCGGAATGGCCATAGGCCTCATAACTTGCACAAATATATGGACTCAAGAGGTGGCTCGTACGGATTCTAGAGGTGACTCGCATTGCAGCACTTAGTTCCGTACAGCACTTTGCTCCATACCGAAATACATAATGGCCTCTGGCCTCATAGATCATATAGAATGGCCATAGGCCCAGATTGGCTATAAGCCTCATTCATATATGTATGGACTCAAGAGGTGGCTCACAATGTAGCACTTAGTTCCAAGTAGCACTTTGTTTCATACCAATAATTAACAGGTTTTACAGACCAACCATACATATCATGTTATATCATAAACGGAAACAAATTCATACATATGCATTATGCTTAATTCATGAACAAAAATTAGAATTCTAACTTAATTATACCTGGCTCTTCAATAGTGCTAACAAGTCCACATAAAGCATCCTTGTTCCTCGGTTCTAAAAACTTGTAATATCCTAGAACTTATAACATACGTGAACTTGTAACAGACTTAAACTTATAACATACGTAAACTTGTAACAGGCTTAAACTTATAAACTTGTAACATACGTAAACTTGTACCATACTTGAACTTGTAACATATATAAACTTGTACCATACTTGAACTTGTAACATGAGTATACTTGTAACATACATGAGCTTATAACATACTTGGACTTGTAACATACATGAACTTATAACATACTTGGACTTGTAACTTTCACAAACTTGTAACATTCTTGATTTATAGCATACGTAAACTTGTAACTTAATTATTTGAACCACGGTATTATTACCCCCGGGTAAGGGCCTTGTGCTAAAGATGATGTGAATACTTCTGCATATATGAATAATCATTCATTAAGTTATAACGTAACATATCAGAAAACAGAGCATTTCTTGTTATATTACGTCATTATTGTGCACTTAACAAAATAGAATAATTCATATTCTTATGTGGGTCACATAATGATGTTAAACTTTTGCATTCATGTCGTAGATTCCGAATAACTTCGAATTCATATGTAACACAACAAAATAACAACAAATTCGTATGGATTCACATAACTTTCCAATTATTCTGATTCTTCATAGATGAACATAAGTTCCACTTATTCTTTAAGAAATAATATAGTATGCTTATAAATAACAAAGGGTTAATATTCGTCATTAACAGAACAAGGATTCCAAAATCATACCGACGTACGTGAATCTTTCAGCGTTCATGTAAGTTCACATTGATTTCCAATTGTCATAAATGTTCGTATAACACTTACAAAGAACAGAGCATTAGTGACAATAATTATCAACAATAGATAAAATGTACATTTTTTTTGTACTACTACTCACAGTGCTACAACGGAGTGCTTGTCCCTCCTGAAGTGTGCCCTGTACACATATATAACTTAGTCATTAGTTCTTTTTTCTTTCCTTCATTATTCTTCACAAGCCCACCATTAAGCATCCATTTATACTACAATTTCCTCCATCTCAATATATATCTATAAATAGAAGATTACCATTCTTGCAAACACAGTATGGAACTTATAATCAATCACTTTGATTTCAAGATAGAAAAGAATTGTATGGACATCCTCCACATTTTTCCAAAAATCCCTGAATGTCTAGGGTTTTCACCCAAAAACCAAACATTTCCTATCTACATAAAGAAACTCCATTAAATCATTCTCTTGATTTTAATAACTAAGCAAGCCCACAAGTATTTAGCAAAATAATTTGGGATGAAACCCATTTCGGAAAACTCCACATTTTAGGTCACAAAAATTAAAATCAACATAGTCAATACCATCTCACATAATCAACACAATTCAACATAAACAACATGATTCAACTCCATTGGGTATCATCATTAATCAACCTAGGGTTTCAAGAAAAATGAGGATTTTTAACAAAAATTCACACTTATTAAATCTCCACTTTTAATTCCAATTTTCCCAATGATTCTACATCTAGGATTCACAATTCATCATTTTAACCCATCAATTTAACTTTCAACATCTCAAACTCTAAATCCCCAAATCTCATAATATGCCCTAGATGATAAAAATGAAGATTTTTGCATTAATATAATGAAGTTACCATAAATCTATCCATAGATGTAAGTATTGAGGAGATCTAGAACTCCTACCTCGAAGAACAAAGGAGCGAGCTTGGATGAGATTCCACCTCAATTTCGAAATTCAATCGGTTGGAAATGTTGACCCCTTTCTTGTTCTCCATCCTTGATACAAGATCCATGGAGGATTTGTTGATAAAAGTGGTGGAAATTAAGGTTTTGGAAGCTAGGGTTTCGGACATGGAAGAGGGGAGAAGAAGAGAGGAAAAGAAATTGCAAGAAATGGTCCAAAAATCCCGTTTTTAGATCTGCTGTCCCGCACAGACCGCACGTGCGGCGCTATTCCCCGCACGTACGGCTCTGCTTTCAGCACAGATATGAAAACTTCAAACGGGTATAACTTTCTCATCGGGACTCCGTTCTAGGTCGTTATTGTATCCAAATCGAAGCCCCGGAAATAAGATTTCCAATGGTTCTAACCTCACATTCAAATTCCAAGTGTGGAAAAAGAAAAGGACAAATGAATGACGGCTGATCGTAGGTTAACTATTCGAATTAAAGTTTTTGGTCCAATCTTACTTTACCATCATATTACCACCTCAAGCAACACCCCAAAATAAAATGAGGAGGTTCCAAACATACCAATAAAAATGTCAAAAATGAACCCACGTGTCTCCTTATTCAACAGATATGAATCCATAGTCATAAGGTTCACTTACTTAAACTTAATTCCACGTGACATTTCATAATAAGCATATAAATACACATAATGAGGGACTGAAAATATATCGGGAACACATACGAGGGTTGGGTTATTACAAGTCCTCCTCACCCATTCTTTGAAAAGCGCTCTCAAATTTTTTTGTCGCCTCCAACATAAGATATGTGGAATTCCACCGCGTTGGCACATCTAGGCACAAGAGACTCTTATTCTCAATTTTTAAACTTTCCACATACTTTTTAAAAGTGTAAAGGTGGTTTGGAGAAGACCTCACACACCTCACTGCATGCCTCACATTCGCTATACAAGACTCAAGATCCTTCAATCCATCACTAACAATGAGATTTAGAATATGTGCACAACAACGCATGTATAAAAATTTATGGCCCAAGACAGTTCCCTTCCACAGTTTTGTGGTTCGTTTTAAGAATCTAATGGTTAGATTATTGGAACTCGCATTATCAACAGTTAAGGTAAAAAGGCCATCAATGTCCTACTCTTACTCTTTTAAGATTGCCTCAATTTTTTTACCAAGAGTTTCTCCTTTGTGGTCTTCAACTTGACAAAAATTTATAATCCTCTTTTGTAACTTCCAATTATCATCAATGAAATGTGCAGTTAGACACATATAACACAAATTTTGTATGGAAGTCCATGTGTCCGTTGTAAAACAAATTCTACGCCTCTTCACAATTTTCTTCAACCTCTCCCTTTCATTGGTGTATATGTCTAGAATGTCCATAGCAACGGTATATCGAGATGGAATCTTGAACTTGGGTTGCATGACATTACAAAACCTCTTAAAACCAACCCTGTCCACAAATCTAAAGGGCAATTCATCAATTACTATCATCTCCGCAAGATACTTTCTAGCAACTTTTACAGAAAATGACGTAGCCACAACATCGACAACACCCTTCCCACCAACTTCTCTAGGTTTAAATCCCAATGATTGTTGCCCATGAGTATCCCTATATGGATACTTTGTACAATTTTTCAAATGACTTAACAAATTACTTGTTTCATGACTCTTAGAGCCTACCATATATTCTTTCTTACAATACTTGCACATAGCCTTATCTTTCCCATCAATGCCCTTAATCTTTTCAAAATGATCCCAAGCCTTTGATGTTGTTCTCCCACTATATTAGGTTGGGTGGAGGGGTCAATAGAAGATGATTCGGGCTTAACATTAGGACTCACAAAAAATGTTTCTTCACTTGAAGGATCCATGGCCATAAGATTATCAAATATACTGCCAAAACCAATAAAGATTCATTCAAAATATGTTTTTCAAACCATGGTCTATTTTTCCCTAACGCCAAATTGATACATGAAGGACTACAGCAAGAACTAAAAATACATGAAGGACTACAGCATGGTCTATTTCAATCCATGGTCTACAGCAATAATACATGAAAAAGTAATACAAATCAGATTTCAAAACAAAGAGAAAGGCTAATACATGAAGCACTAATACATGAAAAAGATGACAAATATGAAAAAGTAACTAATGAACTATCTAAAAAACCCTGTCTGACAGGTTGCTGTCCAAAAATTAATCTATTATTTTCATTTTGAATATCTCAAATGCCCTCACCTCTCAACTGTCATGAATCTTTTTATTTTCAGTTCCTAAATCAATTTATAAACACAAATTTTGTATGGAAACGCTGTAATACTATTAAATCAGTTCCTAAATCATTCATTTCTAAACTAGTTCCTAAATCATTCATTTCCCAAGTAGTTCCTAAAGCATTGATTTCCCAAGCAGTTCTAAATCAGTTTATAACACAAATTGCTCAAGTCATTAACATACCATAAATCAATTTAAGAGGTAAATGAGAATGCATATACATTAACATACTATCACTGCCCATTAATAGATCCAGGGCAAAATATTCAACAAAAAATTGGGTATTGTGTTTCATAGCTTGGCCATAAATTACAGAGTATGCAACAGAGCATGCCCTAACCATTTGTGTTTCAACCAATTTGTAATCAACAATTTGTGTAGAGTATTAACCAATATACTGGATATGATTACAAAATTCATCAACCAATAAACATTACCCAATGAATACTAGAGAACAAGAGACAAACCAGAGTGTGGAGTGACATACCAGAGAATAGGAGAAGAGAATAAGGAGAAGACAAGAAGAGCAAACACAGATATAAAATCTCAGAGACATAGATAGAAATCACACAGACACAGATATAAAATCACAAACACAGATATAAAATCAAAATCACAAACCCCCGATTTTCGAACTTTCTGTAAGCTTCTCTCTCTGTATGTGTAGAACCCTCACTCTAATCTCACCATCTCTTTGCTTTCAGAACTGTAACAAAACAAACATAAATAAAAAAATAAAAACAATTAGAGATTCAGGAGAAGATGACAAGAAGAGAAAAGATTAAGACAAAATAGAACTCACCACCACCATAATCAGCGATCCTCTTTCAGTCGAAGAAAGGGGTAGGCCCTAACCGTTAGGGTTTTAATATGAGATTCTCAAAAAATGGAGTAAAAAAAAAAGCAAATCTTCAATCGCCGACAGAGAAGATTATCGGATAATAAGAAGGTCGCCGCCGGTAGATGGGTAGGGTTTTGGGGAGAGAGAAGAGAGAGAGTACTGTCGAAGAAGAAGAAGAATAAGAAAGGGTTAGGTTTTTTGATGATGAGATCAGAAAAGAGGGGGGCGTACAAAAAATATAAAAAATCTAGAGACAAACGGCGAGTCGAGTTACTTGGATATAATAGCGGGCCACCCGCCACCCAACTCGAATCCGCCAGAATGTAAAATCTTGGCCCGCACCCATTCGCCAGGTACCACGCATCCACCCATTTAATGTCAGGTTGGGTGGATTTGGTGGGTCAGTGGATCCGTTGATCAGCCCTAATGCCTGTGGATAAAGGCTTGTTGTTTGAATTGGAACGATTCAACAAATGTGTGTTTTAATCCCACTTTGTTGAGTGGCAAATCATGTTTTAAGCCCACTATATTTGGTGGCAAATCCGCAATCTTTAAGCCCACTTGAGGTAGCAAATTCAAACAATTTTCACAAACAAACATGAGTTGAATTGTTCTAAATTGAGCAAACTAGTCTATAATTGCTTGTGCGTATCACATACTAATGTTAGCTAATAACCGAAATAAAAACACATAATGTTTATAAAAAATCATATAATGATTAGTAAAGGCTGATCTTTGATCGGGCGAGCAAGAGTGCTCAATTCATGACTTTTCCCTCTCGTACCTAAGTTCCCAAGCCGAGGCAACTTTGGTGATAACGGACACGTAGCCTTCGTCACGAGTCATGGGTTTCCTTAATTTCTCCAAAATACGAAATATTTATATGGCGACTCTATAGTTGGTAAAGCAGTCTATTTTTGGCATTTTTGATACTAAAAATCAATTTTCCAAAATGATTTTCCGGATTTGGACTCTTTGGTATTTGTCAGTTTCACATTGCACTTATGAGATTAGATTCAGAACCATAGGAGTCCGAATTGTGAGGCCTTTCTTTCAAACCTTCCGAAAAGGGGCGCGAAAAAGGTGAGCCACAGTTTCTGGTGACTCTGCTGGGGATTTAGAGAACTTGACTCGAACTCATGATATGTTATTTTATCTATACTTATGTGTTTCTTTGCATTTGCATTTGCATCGGTGCACCTAAGTCACAGTGTTTTCCATCTGCTATTCTTGAACGGTTTGCCAGAGGCTTGCCTGGAAAAGCTTGCCAAAAGGCTGACCGGTTACGGGCTCTACCGTGATGGGAACACAACCCTTGGATCTGGACTACTGTTGTACCGTTTGATCCTCCTTTCACTTCTCAGTATTAGGTGTGAGAGATATATTAGGTATTCTTGTTGAGGTACCATTTTTGACCAATCGACCTAGTTGCATATCGAAAGCCATAGAGACTGTTCCAAACTAGGACAGGTTGCTTACCCGAATACAGGATTGTGTGAAACACTTTTTTTGAATAGCTAACCCTAGCTCTTAACGAAACTAGGACATGGTAACCCTACCCCATCATAAGGG